AAGGTTTGGTTCCCACATTAGTATTACAGGGTCTGAACCTGAGGTTGCAGTTGAACAACTGGTCTGAGTTGAAAGCACCTCAGTAGCCTGGCCTTTCACTGTCCCCCACAGCTAACTTCCGTTCTTTCTCTTGTTCTGACATACGTCTTTGTGAGGTCCTGTGACAGATCAAATTAGGAAATTAACTCACTCAGCTAAAAAATACCATGGCAAAAATACCATGGATTAAATAGAGTTTTTGTTTTATGGCTCATTCTAATTCTCCCTGAGCAAAAATTTCTGATTTTCTGTAGGTAATAAATTACATGCTGCATTTCTCAAAGGAGCCACAACCCTATAGTCTCTCCCTGTCATGCACTTACCCAGGTGCTTCCCTTTCTTTATGGCAAGGTATCAAGTGCCTTTTATCTCAGTTGGTCTCATCAAGAAAAATAATGATGTTTACTTCAGTGCAATTGGTTTCTAGTTCAATTTCATTTTAAAGTTGCTCGTTCTATTTTGGACTTGAAGAAGGGTTTGTGTGCCCAAAACTTGGATGGTTTTGCCATGTCTATCAGTTGGTGTAGTAAAAGATAATATAATCCTTCCATAAAGTTTTCCTTGCTTGGGTTTTTGTAACATTTTGGTGCTGAATTCTCTTGCAAACTGGAAATAGTGCGGTAGCTTGAAATATGTGTCTTTAAAATAATACTGTTATATTGAAACTGTTATATTTTTAAATCTGTCTTCAAACTGAGAAAATACTGTCGCTTTTGCAGTAACCACATAGCTGTAAGCGCAGAAGTTGCCAGAAGGAACTCTAGACTCTTTGGCAATAACTCACAAGACAGTTGGGAGCTTTTCGCACCTGGAATCTGCAAGTGGTGATGAATATTTTGTCACTTAAGAGCTTGAGATAGGAAAACCTAAAATGGCATTGGTTATGTGTAGAATTTTTAAAAAAATATTTTCTTGACAGACAGTACAGTTGGAAATTTAGGTCAAGGTCTTAATTTAGTTTTCTCATTGACATGCTGAATGATGATTTTCAGGATCCCACCTTCTACTGAATGTATTTAGAAAATATTCAGATTGTAAGCGTAGGATAGCTTTCTAGTTTGGAATAGACACACTTAAAACATTTATGGTGTCAGGATTTCCAATTTGAACATGCTGCTTAGCCTCTCTAAGGGAGTGGACTTTACCATAAATGTGGAATTAGGAACTTTGAACATTTCCTGCCCTGATTTTCTCTTTTTTCTGGCTTGTTAAACTTTTCTTTGTTCCTTTAAGTTTTTGTTCTGCTCAAAAGTAGAAAGTACAGAAGTGGAAAGCAACTTTGGTAGATTCCATTTAATTTACTAGCTTCTTAAGTGAACTGAAGGCAGGCAGATAGAGCTCATAAAAAGCACAGAGAGTTCCTAATAGCAAAAGGCTGATATTATTCCACAGAGGAGGCAACAGGACATGTATTTTTTCTTTCTGTAGAACGGAAGTAGTGTCTGTCCTTAACTAGCTTTGTCCTGAAGCTTACAGTACCTCCATTCAGCCAAAATTGTCTGGGCTAGTTTCTCAACCTTAGATCTGGATTTAAACATCTGCAAAGGCTGGGCTAGTAAGCAGAGATTGGCTTCAGGTTAGGGCCATCTCTAAATAAATTATATACATGCACACAAATTACGTAGAAAGATTGTCTTTGCTTGCTGAACTATAAACAGCTTTTACAAAAGTGACTTAATTTTTTCTGGAACTTTTGCACTGCTGTTTTCTAATAGCATATAATCATTTAGTATACTTGATTGGGGTAAATTAAATAAGTCTTTTGCAGGGGTGATACGTAGTTAAAAGCAGTTAAGTGGGTAGAAGATTTCTAAATAATGTACAATATTAAATTCTGGATGTAAGCACTAACCCTCCTTTACCTGTTCTTATCTTATACTGCGATCAGTTCCCTGGCAAAAGCTTACTTTATGGAACAAAGTCTGTAGTCATTGCATTGTCCTAGTTATTCCATGACCCATCACTTGGAAAGAAATTTGACAGAGGGCAAATTGCCTTTAATTGTGATAATTCTGTTGTCTTATGCATTTCCTTTGATCTGATAAGGAAACTGAGGAGTTAATGAGTATAGAATTTTTTGACATATATTGCAATTGAAATGGCTGTTAGTTTTTTAGGAGAATTATAAAACAATGTTCATTGTGCAGAAAATAACAGTACTCCACCTATAGAACTGCATTCGTCATGGATTCATCTGTTGAATGAGTAAGGGAAAGCTTGCACCTTAACTGTTTGTCATTAACTATTCATCTGCTTCAGTGCAATACAGAACATGCTGGAGCTTCTTAAATTGTTTAACAGCATTGTAGGCTGTTAAACAGCTACACTGAAAGCAATATATGGCTGTATTTCAGTAACACAAATGGGACTGTGTGTACATTTATGAGTGTTCTATTCATCTGTGGAATTTAGAATGGGTTGAACAATGTGAATTCAAGTCCCTCAAAATTCAGAGAAGTTTCAGTTTCAATTTTGTCCTGAGCACCACCTCCAAAGAATGCACATTTTTGTCTGTCCAAAAGTCCTTTAAATGTAGTCTTCTTCAATGCTGTCCTTTTTTTTTCCCCATATTAATTTGGAGTATTAATTTGGAGAAGGCGATCATAACCTAAATTGTGCCTACTAGAATATGTGTTTTCTGTTATTAGGTAAAGAATATAAAGACATTTATCCACTGCAGTACGTTAATAACTAACAGATTTTCAGTTATACAGTGGAGAACACATCAGGGCAATGAAACCCCGTTTAGATCAGATTGTGAATGAAGGCTTTAAAGAAACCGCATTCTCGCAGCAGTGCCTGAGTGCAGGCATGGAGATGGGTAAGCATCTGACAGAGTTGTGATTTAGCAAAAGTATGAAATGGCTTTAGGCTTAAGTTAGGGAAAAAAACAAAGAAATAAAAAAATTAATCTTCATATTAATTATGGGTCTGATTGAGTGTAATTCAGTGTTGGTGACTGACTCAATGTTGCTGTCTCTACGACAAGAAGGATGTGGAGCAAGGAGAGGATTTTCAAAGGAGGACCACATAAAAGACCCGTGGGATAGGAAGGAAGGCTTAAAGCTTAATTTATTAGTTTAGAGGAGGTTAAAAAATGTTTTCAGATGCTTAAATGAGATGAAATTACTGGGAATGGAATTTGGTTTCTGAAACTGTAAGGAAGTCCTGTGGTGAGAAACATTAGACAGATTAACCCATGGAAAAAAAAAAAAAAGTCATACTTGGTGTGATGCAAGGGACGTACTGGAACATGTTACCAGTGAAGATTGGGGACTCTTCATCATTTGGACTCTTAGAGTGCTAATTCACTGAAGGGGGTAAAGTTATGTGGCCTGATCTGTGTTATGATAATTCTGCTAGAAAGGCCAGTAATTATGGTCAGGAGTTGGTAATGTTAAGAGTGTTCACATAAATGATGTTAGTTCTCTTCAGAATTTTCACCTTATCTGCGGGGGAGAATCTACCAGAACTGGAAGAATTTAAATTAGATTACTTCGGCTTGATTAAATTGCAGCATAAATGCTGTTGCTCAGAATATGCAATCTTAATTTGGTTTCCCTTCATTTGTTTGAATTAAACCAATTTAGGCTATGTATTCTGAATGAACACTCTTTTTCAGGGATGTAATCCACTCCAATTTGGTATAAATTTAGATCCTCAACTAACAGATTAATTTTTTTCCAGACAGGTCTGGTTTTTTTGGAGTTGGTTTAAATGTCAGAATTTACAATTGAAGCAAGAAAGGCATAAATGAAAAACAAAAAATAAATATGAAAGATTATGAAAAAAACCCCAGTTACTGTCATGTCAAACAAATGTCTGTCTTAAGAGCCAGATCATTTAAGCAGCAGGTTGGTTTTTTAAAAAAAGCTTTATTTAGCCCCAGTAGTAATCTTGGCATTTATCCACATGGAAGGGAATACTGTTAATTTAAATCAGAGTGTTGTATACCATTTGTGTGTTGATTCAGGGAGAAAAAAAAAATTTCACTTTTAGTTTATGCTATTTTGGAAGTGATAGAAATAAACCCAAAACAAATACACTTTTGAAGAGTCTTATCATTGCGTAAGAGAGGTTATACAAAGAGTTGTACAATTATGCCAGTGTAACAAATAAGCACATTTCCAGCAAAGCTTCAAATAGTTGAAATAAGCTTTTAACTGGTTGTAGTAGTTGCTGATGGGAGCCCTTATGGATGGATTAATCTCCTAAAGATGAATTTTTGTATTGCTATATCAGATTTGATTTAGAGATGGTTGCCCAAAGTCAGAAGATAAAAAAATTAAACTGACCAAATTACCCAAGACCAGGTTTTTTCCCTTTAGCTATATTTGTACCCTGACATAAACCATCAAAATTGTGCTTTGGACATATTTAATCATAAGTAATCCTAGCTATGTGAAACACATTGTAAAATGTGGAATAGTCTATATGCTGTGCAATAAATGAAATTACAATTCCGATTGAAGTATTTTTTATTTTGCATTTTTTGTTATTATTATTATTTTAAGCTTATTATTATATATTACTATTAATTATTTAGCCATTTGTTAAGTAAATTATTATATTTTTAAAGTTATTAAAATTAAATTTAAATATGATTTACAGCAATTTGAAACTGCACACAGAAAATGTGCAGAGAAAACTGTGAAAACGTTTACATTCATTAGTAGTATTGTGAGATTGGCCTTGGAGGCTTGAGAGAGAGCAGGTTAAAAAAAGAGAGGAATATACTCCAATTTCTTTCTGTACTGGAAGTTGCTTGGCTAGAATTCCAACATACGTCACTATGGGATACCACAACTGGTTAAAGTGCTAGTTGAGAATCACAACTTTATCTGTATTTCTTGTTATTCTGTTAGTCATTGAGATCCCATGTTGTGCTCTGTTTCTGCAGTCACTGGTTAAATGGAAGCCACTCCTGGGACCTGGATGGTTTCTACTGACATAGCCGTTGCATAGCAGCTCTGTCACGTCAGGAGGTTGCAATGAGTGGAGGAGGGGAGCAGCCTGACATCCTCAGCGTGGGAATCTTGGTCAAAGAAAGATGGAAGGTGGTGAGTATGCCATTCTGCAATTCATTTTCTTTAAAGCACGTTTTTAAAACAAAGCAGTTTGCCCTTTGAAATTAGTTTCAATATTCTTGTGAGTTGTATTTTACTTATGTTAAATAGTGAAAGGACTACAAAACCACTTGTTTCTCTTATCCTACTTTAAAAAGAAGTTATATGGATTTAAGGTGGGCTTTTTTCTTGTAAGGACCTAGGAAAGATTAGTACCTGTTGAGAGCACACCTGGAGTAGTCCTATTAGTATACTGAATCCAATCAGCCAGTGGTCATGTCAGTCCATTTGGAAATCAACACCCTCTTGAAACTAGACAGATTGTGATTTGTTACTTCTTATAGGAAGGTTTTTCAGGACCTTGCTGCTCTTCCAATTAGAAATGATTTTTGTTTGTTATATTTTGTAGCATGGATTTGTTCGTGGCTGATTTACATCAATTTGATTGTGTGCCAGTATTGGCTTTACCATAAATAGCTCTGTTCCCTTTTGGTGTTCGTGTCCTTTTGTACATCTAGAGGAAAATAGTATCCATTTGAAACTATTTTTTTATGGGAAAAACAGGCTCCCCTGATGACTTTAGAATTTTTTTGTTTGTGGATTTTTTTGAGAATTAAAAAAAAAAGAAAGAAGAAAAGAAAAAAGCCACTTCATGATAGAACATTTTGGGCATCTCTGTGTGTTTAGTAGGCTGGGAATGGATACTGAATCACTATTTTTTGCACTTTCTTTGCTTTATATTACTCCTGTATTTCAATATTTTATTTAAAAGTGTGAGTCTGAACATAGACGATAGAGATTAATCATTCATTTCAAATTCATGTAGAGAAAATAATTTCAACTATCTTGTGCCCTATCCTTCATTTAAAAATGCAGGAAGCTGATACTAACTTTATGTAGGAAAACTTTATATTCTTTTTGTGTAAATAGAACCTGAGCGGCTATCTTTGGAGTATAAGTATTTGTAAAATACTTTCTTGCATTACATCTCAGTTTTGCACTGAAGTAAAAACTGAAGGCATAGTCTTGAATCAGATCAAACAGAATAAAATAGCATTATAAATAGATAAAAGTATACTAATATATCACTATCCACAAAACTACTCGGTTGTCTGATATGCGCAACAGTAGTCTTGTTTTCTTCAGGTTTATTTTCTTTCCTATGTAGTAAAGAATTATGATCAGGTCAGTGTCATTTGGACGATTTTGAGAGCAGGCTGTTGTTCATCTCGTGATTATACATTTTAACTTGTATGTTTTCCAAATTAAGTATTACAGATAGATGAGTGACAAATATTGTCTGTGGGTAACTCTTCAATTCCGTAATTTCTGTATCAAACATTGAGGATTTCTTGATGTCATTTAATGTGTAATACTTTCTTCTAAATTCAGGATTTCATAGGACAATCTGCCAGTGGAAGAAAATAGAATGCAAATTTTCAAAATTCCTTAGTGCTTGACACATATAATTAAAACTGTTCTTTTAGGTTATGAAGTATGGAAGTTTTTTGCTAGTGTTCTTGAAGCAGTGGAGTACTTAAAAATTCATTGTGTAGAAAGATGAGGTGTTATAAACCAGTGGACTTTGAAGTTTTGGTGACAGTGATACTAATTATCAGTAGTACTTCTGATTGTTCCTTGTGGAACTCTCCCAGTATCCTGCTTTTCTTCCCCCATTGAAGAACGGCAGCTCTGTAGTATGATTGCAAGAGAGTATTCTGTTGTAACAAGTTTAAGAAAAAAAAAGTAGACGTTCTAGAAGTTATGTAAAGATTTGCAGCTGAAATGCAGTTTTCAGCATTTGTGCTGTTCAGGACCTTGGCCTCTGAAATAGTGAAAAGATACCTAGAATTTGTGGACACAAAGATTTTTAAAAGCTATGATCAATTAAATGTTAATTTTAACTTAGACGTTCTTTAGGGTGCTTCTATTTTGAAAAGTGAGCATACAAAAAACATAAAGTATTTTTTCCTCAGTGACACCCTCCCTCTCTACTGGTCTCTGTATCTAATAGCTTTTGCTTTCATCCTCTGTTGATGCTTTTTCTTGTCCCTGTTTTTTTGCCTTGAAACATTTGTTACAATCCTGACTTAGACTTGATTGTAATGATAAGTGTTTTCAGGTAGGTTTAAGAACATCATTCAGTATGCAGTGTAAACAAAAGTACCAAGATAAAACATGTTGGAAATTGTACTCTTTAGACTTGAAGCATACAAAGAGATAGGAGTGGAAGAGTTTTTTCCCAATATTTAGATGACAGATCTCTTTCCTTTCTAGTCTAGTAAGGACTAACACTCTGCTTATATTAAATACACCTGAATGTAACCAAGTTATGTTGAGTATTTCGTTGGACTTGAAAGGGTTTTGTTTCTCATGGTTTGTGTCATTATTTCAGAGTTTACCCTAGACTCTTACCTGAGTAGTACCTTCAACAAGTCATATCTGAAGACACAGACTTCTTATTCAGGATTTGTGATACTCTGTACTTGAACTTGTTAAGTTGTTGAAATGTGTGGGTTAAGGAGTAACAGGCTTAAGCCTGTGTTGGTAGGATGCATGTTATGCAGCTTCAGAGAAGGTGTAGAGCCTGCGGAGGAGAGCTTGGTGGAAAAAAAAGGAACATGTGAATTTGCAGTCAACAGATGTTGCCCTAGAAGGAGGTATTTAGGTGGGTTAGTTCTGTAGCTCTGAAAAAGCAGTGTGCTGTCTGTCCCATGCATCTTTTTAAAATTGGCAATGAATTAACCAGAAGTGTGTAATGTGGATAATGCAACATACCTTGGACCATATTTTCCTCATCTTAAGAATACTGCAGTAGCAGTTGCTTGCGATGATAAAAGATCTTTAGGACAGAAAGTGCATGATGAAACACTGAGTATTGTTGCAATCACACAGAGTAAAAATTTCATGTGATATGACTTGAAAAATGCAAGTAAACAATATGAGTTTTTTATCTGTTACCTTCTTCTGTCTACTAGCCTAGGCTATTTTAAAAATTGTTTTTCATTCTCAGACAGATGGCTGATATTCTGGATTAGGAGACATGAGATTTATTTTCAGAATCTGAAGATAGGTCAGCATAGTGCTGATCTCTAGATCCCCAGAATGTTTAGATGACATTTGATACAGTGTAGTCATATAACCTTAGCAACTATGTTTTCAGATGACATGCAGAAAACCATACCAGTTTTCTTTCAGGTAAAATATACTAAAAATACAATAGTGTGTGTTTCTTAGGGTAAGTTTTTTTTGTCTCCTTTTCTCTTTTATCAGCTTTAGAGTGGTAGCTACAGGAAGCCTAAACGTATGAAAGTATTACATGAAATAACGTTGACATTTTTGATACTGAAAACCAGACGAGTCTCTGTTCCCTGTGAACTTTTAAAGCAGAGTGAAAACACAACTATTAATATTTGCTCTGAATATAGTGAAAAATAGTAAATATGCTAGGAGCATTCTTTTAACTCTTCCTAACACAGATGAAACTTTCAGTGGTGCAAGTTTCTTAAGTATGTCTGTTAATAAGAATAGTATTGGTGAATCATAAGTAAATGTGAGTAACATTTAAAAATATATATTCAAAGATAGTCTTAGCCATTTCTTATCATTTATGATTTAGCTATTATGTGTAAGTCACTGCATATAATAGAAAATGCTGTCTTTTTTCAGTAAGTCCAAGAACCTTTATACTTTTTGTATTCAGTGTGCGTATTTCTGAAAAAAGAAGAAGATGGCATATTTTAAAAATGTCACTGTGCATTTGTATTTGAAGGTCTCTGGGTAGTATGTGACTATTTGAGGGAAGACTTTATTCAGCATGCTGACTCCGGTCAGATTAATGCTGGGAATGCTAGTGCACTCTTCAATTGTATTAAATACAAGAAGGTTAGTGCAGATGGAGATCAGGTGTATTAACTTGTTTTGCTAGGATTCTCTTCCATACTGTGTTTAACTGTACCTCTGTAGATTATTCAGTAGCTCTTTTATGTACTGAAGGATATAATTATGTTATTTTAAAATCTATTAGTAATATAACAGCATTAGCAGGCAGTACAAAGAAGTATTGATGCTTTGTTTCGTTTCTTTTCTTCTACCCTCTTTTAAATATGTTTTCTTTCTTTTTTTCCCCCAATATAGTTGAGGAAAATAGGAGGTGGAGGATTTGGAGAAATTTACGATGCACTGGACTTGCTTACTCGGGAAAATGTTGCACTGAAGGTCGAATCAGCTCAGCAACCAAAGCAAGTGCTGAAAATGGAAGTAGCTGTGTTGAAGAAATTGCAAGGTGGGACTGTACACTGGATATGCCAGAAGTAGAACGTCAGTGTATCTTCTTAAAAAAATCTTTATAATCTCTATTTAGTCATAGTTTGAGTAAACCTTCCACATATTCTGCAGGCTATTGCTAAATGGTTATTAAAAGTGAAATAGAATCTCTTTCAGCTTCTGAAATTTTTGCTACAATGAACCTTTTATTTGAAACAGGATGTCATGAAAATGAAAAGAACAACAAAAAAATTAAATTGCTGCAAAACCTATGCTCAACTTTAGTTAATTCTGGATCTGTATCTTCTCCTTTTTTGCTCTAGACTTTTTTGTTGTTTTGAGGTTTTTATTTCCCCTTCTAAAATGATCTCTTTTTTTTTCTGTACTATCTAGCATTGAATATTTGCGGGTCCTTCACATAGCACCCAGGATAAGAATACTTGTATTTCTTTGCCTTTGCAACTATTGCCAGGAATAATTCTAATGTTGACATAGGAAATGTGTTTCAAAAAAACCACACAAACAAACAAAAAAAACAACTTTAACATACTGTATCTTGTAAAAAAAATTATGGGCATGTAGAGTCCTGAAATACATCTAGGGTTCAGGTTCTTGACCATTCAGCATTAGAGCTTTGAATGGTCACTTTTGATGTACCTTTAAATACTTTAATGTCTGAAGCTATCAATGCAGAGATACATGCAATGGCTTCTCTTCATTGCTTTTCACATCATAAGGTTATAAAAAGACAGTTTAATGGGGGACTTTCTTCTTTAAAAAAATTATTTTGAACCTGGATGTTTTTGACTAATACATCTGTCCCTGTAAGCAGCCCGATTTTTCCAAACTCTTCGTTTGAATAAAACAAAATCTGCATGACATGTGGTGCTGCCCAATCTGCTGCAAAGGTCACATTGTAGCAGAAATTGACAGCCTCTATAGATTTCAGAGGGCAAGCATGTCACATGTTACAGTGTTAACAAACTGTTCCTTTGTTTATATGTTTTAAAATAATTTCACAAAAACGTCTGGTATTATATAGTTGAGCAAGGAGATTCAGGGACTCCATATTAGCTTGCTTTGAATTTTAGACTTTCTAGTCCAGACATGAATGGTAAATTTCAGTATTAGCAATTGTAAATTTAGACACCATTTATTGGGGTTGTCTTAAACAAATTGTCTGAAAGATAGTTAGTTTTGAAGAAACAAATACTCTGTAACTCCTGGGTTTTTAATTAATTTTTGAGGTTTTTTTGCTGATACACCTGAGCTTGATTCTATTTTTAATAAAAAACAGTCTTTAGAATGGTATAGGTGAAGCAGCTACAGTAATAAGAAAAATAGTAAAAACTGGAATAAAATATTGGAATTTAGGAACAATACAATACCAATGTATTTGTAAAAATATAGCCTCATATGTGACTGTATAACTAGAGTTCCTTATAACTCTCTACAGTGAATTTAAGTAAAGTTTGAGTTAAGATGTTATAAAAATGCTTTTTTTTTTTTTTTTGTAGTAAAAACTACTTTATCTTTTGAAATATTTTTGAAAGCAAAAGATGTTTGCTGAAATAATAAAAAATTGATTTATGAATAATTGCCGTAGGGTCTGACGGAAGTGATAATTTTCTTATCAGTCTTCCTTTGGGAGCATAATTCCTCTAATAACCCAAGTCTTCCTGCAGAAGAGTCTTTGGTTCTACTGAATCATGGGAAATGCTGTCTAGATGAAAAGAACAGAATATGAAACACCTGAGCAACAGATCCACTGAAGCAAATAATCCAAATAATGTATAATCCAAATAAAGATCTTCCAGTTATTTTCCTCAGTATTATTTCTCTGAGAAAACAATAAATAGAAGTTTTTATATGACGGAAACCCTGATTTTGTATGAGATCTTTAGAAGGAGCTCTCTTGACAACCTTTTGTATGAGGAGAGAATCTAAATATTATTCCTTATTTTTTAATCTCATATTATTCTCCTGCACAGTTGAAAAAAAAAAGAAAAAGAAGTCAGTGATTCCATGATAGTAACTCTAGGGGTGACCTTTAGTCGTTGCTGTATAAATTCCACATTACAGTGTAACTGCTCTGGTTTAATTAGGGAACGTTGCAGATAATCAGGAAGATGACTACAGTAAGAGATGGGTCAAGGGTGAACCTTTCGCATATATTGGGATTTATAATTTGTATGGATATGGAATTTTTACATGCATACATTTTTATCCATACTTAAAGGATTTTTGCTAAATAAGATTATGGTAGAGACCATTTTATGTTTTGCATAAAATTTTGGCTGCTAGGAGCCATTTCCATTAATTTTTCTGCCTTCCCAAGTTTTCAGTATGCAAAAGCAAAAAATTTGAAGCAGGGAGAAAATAAATAAAAATGGACAAAAATGAGAGTAGAAAACAACTCGTGTCTTTGACTCTTTAAGATCCATGTAGAAATTTTTCTCTTTTTTGATGAATTTTTTTTTTTTTTCATGCAGATTCAGAGCAGGTGAGACTGTAAACAGTTCTTTTAGGATATTTTTGTAACACCTCCTAATAGCATACATCCTCTGAGACCAACTTTTATCTTGTTATTCTATCCCTTTTTGGTACATGTGTGTGTGTATATATATATATGTGTGTGTGTGTGTGTGTGTGTGTGTATATCTATCTGTATGTATATAATTACTATCCTTTTCTCAAAGGGCTTATGTTCTCTTACTTTCAAGGTGTTCTAGTTACCTTGGATGTGAATCAGAGGAAGGAATGTAATTGTTATGGAAGTCCTTTTTCTTGCAAATATTTGGAAAGTTTGATCTGTGAATAGTATGTAATGAGAGTGAGCTGACAGTGTCATTCAGAATTCTCTTGATGTGTGGATCTTATTTTATTTTTTTAATATATTTATTATCATGTAGAATTTCTGGGAAAATTATGAAGAAACAGACTTTTAGGAAAGAATTAAATTAACTGGTGTAATATGTCTCAATCCAGCAAAAGAGGTCTTCCAGTCTTTTCTAGAGCTAGGCAGAGTCTCAAGGTTATAGACGTGCTTTTGAGTGTCTCTGAGTTAGAATCCTATTTCACAGAAAGTGTGAAACTGAAATGAGAATAGCTGTTGGCAGAAGTGCAGGGATGTACAATTTTTTATTATGTTTTGCTTTCAGAAATTTTGAAAATTAAAACAGTGTGGTCATTCATTGTGGGGTTGAAATGAATCATAACTTTGTAAGTATGCAGTACAGAGAACAATGAAAAACTTCAAAGAACCTCTTTTAAGACCCTGATCTAGAAAAACATGCTTAAATATGTGAGCAGTTATGTGACTTCTCTCTTAATTATGAAGGAGGAGTATGTTCCCTGATATGGCCATTTATTATAGCTTAGTCAGCAATTGCATCTTCGATTTTTTTTTTTGTTTGTTTGGGTTTTTTGTTTGTTTGTTTGTTTGTTTGTTTGTTTAACTCTTTAAGCTGTGGGATTTTTTGTTTTGGTTGTGGTTTTTTTTTTTTTTTTTTTAAAGGAAATTTGCTGCAACAGATGGTTGTTTTTCTTAATCATGTTGTTAGGCCATCTGTTCCCACAGTCAGATGGGAGAAGACAGATTTCTCACATCTCACTCAGTGAAAGTGAGACTCACTCAGTTGGTTTCCGTCTCACACAACCGTACAGACTTCTCCCTCACTCATTTGCAGCTCTCTAGCATAATTTAGTGATGGGTTGCATCTGCTGTAGTCTGCAAAGCTAGCCGTAGTGATACGCTGCAGCCTGGGGAGTGGCGTATAGGCTTTGTACCCTCCCCAGGAAGCTTTTCAAGGGCACAGTTGTTCACTGCAGCCTATTACCATCTTCTCCCTCTGCTCCCCAGACATGTAGCTCACGGGTGTGACAAAATACTGTTTTCTCACTGAGGGATAAGGAACTGAAGGCATCTGCAAAGGTGTAGTAGGTGCATGTAGCCACATTGGAGTGGTGGAGGATTGTGCTATTTGAATAAGGTGTACAGGTCCTACTTCTGCCCTTTCCTGTTCCCTCAGATTTTTATAGAAGTTAGTTTCCAGAGAATTTACCATGCAACTGGAGTTACTGCTCCAGTTAAAATGGGGTTTCTCTGACCAAAATGAGTTTTGGATATTTACTGAATTTGTCGGATGAAATCTGACTAATATATGTTTCTCTGAAGATGTTCCTTCAGCGTAACCATAGTGGCTGTAAAATGAATCATAAATATTTGAGATGAGAATTCATTAACTGGAAACTGCAGCAATGAATATCCAAAATTTCATCTTGACAAATTGCTGCAAATCCTTTTTCTTCATAAAATTATACTATCTGTAATATTGCCTGTCTTAAACAAATGGGTGGAAGGAAAAAGTGGAGGAAAAGCAGTGATACTTACAGCTTAGCACTTATGTATTTGCAGAAGTTGTAGAGATTCCTTTAAAAATGATTATCTTAAAATAAATTATTTTGATGAAACCTGTACCATTTTCTCTGTTTAAATGGGCCTATCTGTTTTAATTGTATGTGGCCAGGAGCTTCCTGGGGAAGCAATAAAGAGGCAACCACTTTTGTCAAGTGAAGTGAGAATATTCAGAAGCTGTAAGGCCAAGTTTTAGGATTTTGATGGAGCTATGAGCAGTAACAAAAGGTCCCCCCACATCTGTAGCTAGCAGTAATGTCTTTTTTATTTTTTTATTTGCTTTTCTCCTCTCGCTTCTTTTTTTCTATTTATGACATTCTGGTAATCCTAAAGGTAAAGAAATTCATTAAAGAAACGTTAGGTGACACAACTTTTACACAGCTTTAGTGGCCACTTGAGGTCATCAGCTTTCTCTTGGCTGCAGCTTCTGTGGTGTCAGAAAGAAAGGTGAAGCCTGAGGGACTTAAACCCTGCAGTTCCCTGCTCTGTGGTAGAGTGGGGTTGTAAGGGGTCCCAGCTTCTCTCCAGGTCGATGAACAAAGATACCGAAATGACAATGAGTCTGTATTTCCCCTCTGTTCCCCTACCGCAGTCTTGGGCTTGCCTTTTTCTCTGTTTACCTGGGAAATCCTATGCTTTGACTTATGACTGCAGGATAGTAAGGACAGTATTTTTGACCAGCCCTCTTCTCTTCCACAGTCTGCTTCTAGGACAGAAGGAGGCTTTAAAGAAAATTGGCTCAAATTAAACCATGAATTTTTGACTGCTACACTTCTTTTACCTGTGCTTCAGTGTACCTGAGCTGAATTTGTCTTCTGTAGCTAAACAGCGAAGACCATATTCTAGAACAAGATATTCCTAAATCAGATTAGCTGAATGACATTTTCTGTAGTTTTTAATACAAAATGTGACCTGCAGGTAACGACTACTGTTTTCTTTCATCATAGCAGCTGCAGTTTATATAAAAAGACGAATGGTGGCTAGGAATACTGCATATAACAAGCCATCAGCTTTGCAAGAAAACAACCTTCTCCCAATCCAGAAGGCCTCAAATTTGTGGACATTTGGGCATGTTGCCATACATGTTTTCTTATGGAAGAGTGATAGCTGTGGTAGGGCTGCATATTTTATGGGAGAAAACTTTTATTTAATTGGGGGTAGAACTGACGTTGGTTTTACAGCTGTTGAACTGTGGGTGTGGGGGACTTAGTTTATTAAAGATGTCTAAAGGAATATAACTTTCTCTTCCAGTAATTTGCTTAGTATTTAAATGAATAAACCACAGAATTTCATTACTATTGGCTAATTTGCTTCTTTTTGTCTCAGGAAAAGATCATGTCTGTAGATTCATTGGTTGTGGAAGGAATGACAGATTTAACTATGTGGTCATGCAGTTGCAGGTCAGTATCTCAAACACAGCTCAAAGTTTGCTTGTGTGTTTTGGTTTATCAGCTAAGCATGTGTGAAAATACCAGTAAAATTTTAGAGGGTGACAAATTAAAAAAAACAAATCCAGAGATCATGAATGCATAGTAGTGAGCAAACTTGTGTCTTTATCTTTTGATACCCTTTCCATAATTCTCTCAGAAAGGAGAAGGTTTGCATCCTCAGAAAGACCTGACTGTTGAAAGAGTGAACTGTGATGTCTTTTGAGCTAATTCATGTTCTTTTGAAGTCTTCTCTCGAAGATGGTCTAAGATATAATGTATTAATCTGTGCATTTTGTTGGCTTTTTTGATGAAAGTGAAAAAATACCCTTTGCAAGTAAAAGAAAACACATAATTCACTTTACTGAAAGACTTTTTCCTGTGAAAAGGGCTAAAATGAGTGATTAGCATTTAAAGTTATGGGATTATTGTCCTTCATCACCTTGGTGAAAATTAATACTGGAAAAAGAAGTGTTCTCTAGTTCATACTGGTGGCCATCTGTTATTTTGACAGATAACAGTTCTGTGATGCCATGGAGGTGCATTTCTTGAATAGTATATTTTCCATCTGTTTGGTTAGGTCGTCTAAGATATGCTGTATAGTTTAATAAATTATGTACTTTTCCTTAAAGAGGTGAGTGTAGAGATGTCTTTGTAAGCATTTTCTCTGTGGCCTTTTTTCAGGAGTGACACAGATAGAACATTAACTAGTAGTGTATGTACTAGTCTTCTGATAGAGATTAGTTTTGTCCCTGATATTTAGGAGTAGAAAGATACTAAGATTCATATTTTCAAAAACAGATTCTAAATTTAATGTTGGAGATACTTGGGGACACATATTCATTGAGTTTAGGTGAGATGTGTTATCCTTGAATATGAAAATAGGTAATGAGAGTATTATGTGGTTAACCATGAACAGCTAAAAAAGAAGTAGGAAGACTTTATTTATCTGTGAATCTTGGCATTAGTGTTTTCTTTATGAAAATGTCCTTTTAATTTGATCAGGGTCGGAACTTGGCAGACCTGCGTCGGAGCCAGTCTCGAGGAACATTCACCATTAGTACCACTCTGCGACTTGGGAAGCAGATTTTGGAATCTATTGAAAGTATTCATTCTGTGGGATTCCTTCACAGGGACATAAAACCGGTAAGTCTGCCCATTAAATCAAAACAGGCAAGTAATATGTGGTGATTAGATGGCTGCATACATAAGAATAGGTTCTATACTAGATGTTAAAATGAAAAAATGAGAAGGGACAGAAAACTGAATGTTTATGTGTCAGATAGGGCAGATTTTTTAATATTACTTAGTGTTGGATTGCGACAGTAGTAACTTCGGTCTTCGTCATCGTTGTGTCCAGTTACTTAGGCCTCCTTGCAATTTTCTGTAGTTGAAACTTCCAACTCGTACCTGTAGCATCATGCAATTAAGAATATTTGTCATGAGATTATGATATAGTGAATTTGGCTAATGGTAATTAATATCTTCACATTATAAATCTAAGAGAATAGGTGCTAACTGTAGGGTGTATTTATAAGCTCTTCAATAGCAATTTTTTAGTATTCAATATATATATAACAAACAAGGAAGGAAAAGACAGACTGTAACAGAAAACTATTCAATTGCTTTATTGTGCAATTCTCATAAAATGAGTGTTGTCAAAACGCTATGAAGACAGTGTCTTCCTGATAGCATTATGCTTTTGTTCTTATTATTTTTTCTGTTTTTTTTAATTTATCCCTGAAATTGCATCAGCTATTTTTAATATTGCTCTATATTAAAAATATCATTAGAGCTCTGAACTTTCAAAATTTGTAAATGAGAAAAAATATGCAAGTCTTGTGTTTTCTGATAGATGCAAATATGACTGGATTTCCTGTCAGTTGAATGACGTTTACATAAAACCTCTGATAAGTTTATTTGCATTAGGGATTTTTTTATGTTCATCACTTCTTCCTTGCAACTTTTTATAAAACTTGGATTCTCCCTGATCCATCCCCAAGACTTCATTTAATAGGGAAAGGACACAGAGACAGTGAATGTCAAGTGAAATAGGTGAGAAGGAGTTAAATGGAGCACAAGATTTTAATGATAAAAACAATTCAAGTTTTGAATGGCAAATGTGTTCCTTCATGGCTGGCAGGATGGATTGGGGATGTCTTGTTATCTAGCTGTATCTTGAAGTCTGTGGGCTCCGAGAGGATGGAAATGGAGAATGCTGTTAGGGGATGGAAAAAAACCCAGAAAATTAAATGTTGAGCCAGGATAAGTAGCAGTGTGAGGCAATGTATTATCTACCTAAAAGAGTTTTTCTTCCCCTTTAGGAGCTATGTTGTGCAAAAGAAAGCATGATTGCTTTCTAGCATGCAGTTTTCCTGGCGTGAAAATACAAGTCCGTTTTATCTTTTATTATGTAATCTTCTAGATAGATTAGAGCAAGCTTTGTGCTGAGCTGAAATCTTGAAATCCTTGGTCGGTTATTTGCCTTGTGATGAATTAGGCAATACTGAAATTCTGTTCCATTTAAAAATAATGTTGATTGCCCCCATTTCAATTCATGGTTTCAGTTGGTTTTTACCCTCAACCTTTGACAATGAAGCAGCTGTGAATTTGAAATTTATTTAGAATAGTACTGCTGTTTCACTTAATGGAAAAAGAAAAGTAGTTTTTCTAGAGTTAATTGTGTTAAGCTTCCAGCTTGCTCAGATGTGTAGTTTCAATTCAATTTCACAGAACTTGTTTGTAGCTTTATCTTTTTTTATATCGCGTAGTCCATTTTAAAGGGATTTGGTGGGGAGAGACTTGAACCCACATAGCCAGCATGTTCAAACATCACAAACTAGCCGTGTTGAAGAATATTACCTCCGTAAGTCCTCACTGACTTTCCAGCTCTTACTCTACGGTTGTTTTGAAGTTTTGTTTTGTTTTGTTTTGTTTTGTTTTTAAACCTGGTTCTTCCCCCTCCCATGAAAAGGAAAAGGCACTTTGCACCCTTTATTCTGTATTCTGTATATATGATGTTATTGCATTTGTTTAGGTGAACTTGTTGGTAGTTTTTTGCAATGTCCAAATCTAAATATGTGAGTGGATGACATGATTGGAAAATTCTTGCTAAAAATTAGTATATTCTAAGTGACAAAGTAAGATAGCTATCTCTTCGGACCAGGTAGGCTGCTGTTCAGATATGCGAAGCTGGATGCCTGATTTTCTTAAAAACGTTTTCTTCAAATTTAATGGGAGTTTAGTAGAACTGAAAATATGCAAGGAAGGATAGAGAATTAGAATGTAGATTTTCTATGATTTTGTTACTGTATTAATATGTGCACATCTTGAAATGTGTGTGTGTGTATGTATCTATATCTATATATCTATCTGTATTTGTTTTTTCTTCCTAGTCTAACTTCGCAATGGGACGTTTTCCTAGCACCTGTAGGAAGTGTTATATGCTGGATTTTGGCTTGGCACGGCAATTTACCAACTCATGTGGGGATGTCAGACCAGTAAGATTTTTTCGCAGTTGTCAATTTGATTAATTGAATGTAGAAATATGTTGTCTTTTTTTCTGAAGAAGTATGGGAGTTGCATTGAACTGGTAACTGATCTAAACTTGACAAACATCATCCCGGATCAGAAATGCCATGTGGTTTATTGATTATATTAAAAGATTGGCAGTTGGGAATGAATCAGTTTCTGATTTTCGGCTTGAGGCAAAAGTATTGTCAATTTTTTTTTTTTTTTGATAATCTATCACCTGGTTTGGAGAATCAAGCAACAGATAGGTTTTCATTAAATATCAAGAGTAATACACCAGAGCTGAATTTCACTTGGTATTATATATTGCATTAAAAAAAAAAAAAATCTGTGTAGGAGAAAAAAGTCAAACACTAAACTGAATATACAATCTTCTGAAAGAGAAAGTCTGAATAATTAAAACAGTGATAGGACACTAATTATGATATATAACAGGACATAGTTAAGTGTAGTTGCTATATTCCCATGCAATGCAGTCTGAAGAAGATTATAGATAAAAGCGTATCAATGAGGACATGACAATGTTAAATACAGTAGAGCCTCCCTAATTCACTAGCGGGCAGTCCTTTTGTTAATTTCAAAGTTTGAATATGAGCAAGTCAGTGCCATGGTACATGGTGATGCTTTGAAGAAATGTGTTTTCTTAATTAAACTAGTTTAGTGTACATTTTGATGGTAATACTGAATAATGTACTAGTCAATACTATGTAGCATATTTATTGTGATGTGATTTGAGCAGTAGCAGCCACCTCTACAGGATTTCCAATTTTATTTTACCTAAGAAGTTGGGAAAGTGGCAAATTTTTGTGTGCAAATTATGAGGTATGTGAATTAGTAAGGTAAATTAGTGGGGTTCTGCTGTACTCTATTCCTTCAGCCATAATGCTGGACACTGCAATGAAAGCAAAGAGCAGGGGAGACCAACAGAGCGGCTGCTGCTGTTGGAAAGGTGAGCTAAACATTTTAAGTAGTTTTAAATTTTTTTTTTCTCAGTGTTCTTGTCACGTTCTGTATGTTTGGCTGCTTATAATGTTTTTCTAACTGACTTGCAATTTTGAAGAGAAGACAATTCCCAAGATTCTGTAATTTTTGTATATATATATATATATACACACATCAATGGTAGTATTTTCAGAAAAAAAATAGGTGATAACAACATAGAATTTAATATTTCTGCTATTCTTTCTTTTATAACAATTCAGCTCTTGCCTTTTGTTTTTTATTGCAGTGCCCTACAATGTAACTGAAGTAATTCTTCAATTTGATCTGTTTAGAATTTTCTGTCAGTGTAATCCATTTTAGTAGAGTGGCAGTGAGGGGAAAAAAAGACAGAAGTTTTATTTGTATTTAATAGTCAGAAATGGCTCTTGTATAGATAGCAACCATACTGTTGGCCTTGCTTACTAATAGAATTTATTAATATTTTCATTAAATGTGCTATGTGCTTCTCCTTAAGGCTATCCTTCTTCTAAACTTCATTAGATTTCTTCAGCAGATACTGCAAATAACCTGGAACAATGTAAAAGCATGTTCTCCAAAAAACATAGTACTCTATTGGTAAGAACCTGTTCCTTAGTTAAGGTTGATTATTAGATTTTTATGATAAGCCTGATTTTTTGTATACCTGAGTTCCACAGAAACAATCAAGTCCATTGAGATTTTACATGTCATCCCTGAGTCCTTGAATTTCCATGATGTGTTCTAAGAGAATCAGAAGAGAAGTTTTGGAAATTATAGTATCAGGTTTTAGTCCTTTGGCAGCTTTGTATTTTCCCCCAACATTAAGGAATTCCTGGTGGCCATAAATCTGTTTGTTCAACTCAAAAAGACAGAAGAGGCTTATATGGATACTGTTGAATGCAGAAAAGTTTATGACAGGACTCTATTTCCCTCCAGAAATTATTGGTCAGCACCACTGGCTAGCATATACAATTCAACAGGTGGAGATAAAAAACTGAGTTAGCTTCAAGACTGGTAGTGAAGAAAGGTGGTGTGTGGTTCTTTGACAAAATGCAAGTTAGACTGTCAAGGGAGCTGAAACTAAAAGACAATTACAAGAATAAATTATCATCAGTTTTATAGTATAAATCTTCTTGTTGATACAGGTAGTATTCACTTGACTGAAGTTCAAACAAGAAGTTGAACAGAGGGCCTTATGGTGAAGAAGACTGCTTTATTTTGTGAAGTCAGGTCAAGAAACAAAGAGGAAATGAGAAGTTTATCAAACCATTAAGCTACCCAACATTGGACTCTTAGTTAATTCCAGTACATTGTACAAAGACAGAGGAATGCAGCAGAGTTTCATACAACTTCAGTGTGAGAAGGTGTTCTTGTTTCAGATCTGCTATAAAAAGAGGAATTGTAAAACTTTGGAATCCATGGTTTTATTCCAGTATTTGACTGAAGTATGTGCTGGTGGCTATTGGTATTTTCAACCATCCATTTGGACCCTTCTGCATTTCCGTTAAGCCTGTGCTTATTCTAGTGTGGATCTTTTCTTTTTGTCTCTTCTCTCTGGTTTCCTTTCTACATCCAGCTCCTCATATTGCTTCACTTCCAGTTAGATTAATTTCTCTTCTCCCTGCGGTTCTGGTGCCCACTGGAAGAGTACAATGCAACTAAGTGAAATTTTCTTTGCTCTCAGTTTCTTTTCTCTGCACCACAATGATACCTGAAAGCATTCTGAAGGAGTGAGAGAAAAGAAATTCAGGCTGCTGCAGCTCTGGATTGAATTACGCCTCATGACAGATAGAACATTTGAAGAATTTAGATGACTGATTCAAACAAGGCTGTATTGAGTTTGTGTGAAATTTAGTTTTTCAAAAGCTCAGGTATAATCAGTTTTGGATGGATAGTAGAATGTTCCTTGACATTGTGATGGTACACTCTGAAATCCCTCCTTGTCTGTATTCATTCTAAGGCACACTGGCGATACAGGCTCCCTACAAATTATTGTGGGGGTTACTAAACAAAACATTTATTTCAGCTGCATTCAAGAACACTTTGAAATTGTTTGCTGAATTAAAAGCAAGCAGCTACAAAACCAGTCATATAACAAGAAGAATTTCAGCTTAAATTGGTAATATGCAGAAAGTTCAAAGTGGCTGAATACAGGGTAGATTTTACTACAGGTGCCATATATGATATGTTGTCAGTGAAACTCACAAACAGGCAGCAGTGCTAATGAGTCTGGAGAAATTTTGATGAAGTCCCAGCAATATCCCAACAGAAAATGTTGATGCTTTAAAGTAGAAATTAAGATTCATTCAGGTTAGAGAACTTAAATATTTTTGGTACTATCTGTAGTAATTACTTTTTTGTTTCACATTGTTATTACAGTAGTTACCAAACATATCTGTTTTCATTACAGAAAATGGATTGATGACACAGACACTTCCCTAGCATGGACTTGATTCTCTCATCTTTTCTATGGTGTATGGACCCGTTCTGAACATGAGTTTCTTCATGTGCACTTACCTGTCTATAATACTCCAAATCATAGCCTATGGGACTGTCTCCCATGCATCCTATTGATTTAATTGCAGGGTTTTAATGAGTTATGATGGACTCTTTTTTGGGCAAAGTTTGCAGTAGCATTGGAACTGTTTGTGTTCACTGTAGTCTGTTTTCTCATCTTCCTGCCATGTTTTCTACCTTCCTGAAATGGCTGCAGAGTTAAGTTAAAACCAGCTCTATCTTGCATGATAGATTAAATGATTCTCTAGAGTAAATAGATGTTAGTATAGCAAAAATTGCTCACAGGATTTTTGTACAGTATAGGCAAAAACCCCCTGGGTTTAAGTACTGCTTATTTCAGCTCAGCATGAGGTTTTTTTGCTTTTGTGAGAGGACTGAGTTCTTGAATTCTCATTTGATTGTTGTTTATTTCTAGAGAGAAGTTTTAAAATGAAACATTTGATGCATTAACTAGAATAAGAATGTAGTTAAATTTATTATTTACTCTGAAATAAAATAAGGTTTATTGCACCGGATCATAATATAATCAAGCGTGCAAAGAGAATTGTGCAGGTAGATTAGTCTGCTATTGAAAGGAAGTGTTTAGCTTGTCTTTACTGAGGGATGTTAGCATCCAGAATGTTAAAATTTCTATAGTTATGCCATCAGGACTAATTTATAGCTTCCCCCCCACCCATGTGATAATAACATACCGTCTGTTGACTTCTTTTTTTATCCCTCTCTAGTTTTATGTTCCTTCCTTTTCCCCTTTATCTTCAGATATCCTCATCCATAAACACTTCTCTTTTATCTCTAGGCACATGATTCATGTTCATGATGTCCCTGTTCCAATACTATTTCGTTCTGTAGAAACTAAAGCTGTATCATCTTTCTCTAGTATCTTTGTGAATATCTTACGAAGAACTCAAACTCAAGATGCTCTTAGCCTCCTTTTTCCCATGCCAACCACTCGGCACTACTTTTGTTCCTGATCATTGCATGTGATACCGTCTTCCTGTCACCAAGGATTACTGGCAGTTTTGACTTGGTATGTTTTTACATCCAGTGTGCGTATCCTGACGGTGTTTTCTGTATAGTATGCACATACATTCCTATGTGTATGCATGTATTTTGGGTTTTTTTTTCCCCATCCACAAACCTGAAATTCTCATGTAGGCTCACCATCCCCTGACCTGACTGTTACAGAATCCCTTTTCTGGTTTAATGAATACAAGGTTTTTGCCTTGACAAACACCAAAATTCGAGGTGCTGTTACAGACACAATTTATGTGATTTGTTTTGATTATGTTACCCTTCCAAAGTCCATCAAACAAGCTTAAACCTTCAAATGCAGTCTGTTATGACTGTAATTGTTATTTAAGGTTTAAATGGAATGCGTGCTTAACAAGAAAAAGCTAAATTTAGTGCCAATCTATATAGAACTACGCAAAGATGTAGATAATGCTGCATATGGAAAAGATTATCTACTCATACAAGAAGCCATACATGGATG